TTGGAGAAAGGAAAATTTCTGCCTCCACTTTAAAACTTCTATTAATCCTCTAATTAAAGCTCCTCACGAGCTGGCTTGTGAGCTGGCTCATGTGGAGTCTTACCTCTAACACTAACAACTAAAGAAACCATAGAAGCAATCCAGGAACAGATTAATAAGGAAAGAAAGAGAAGCTTTTACTATCATCTCTTTTGTTTTATCATCCTTTAAATTTATAAAAAATAAACTGCATTGTCCAACTAAAATCATACAAAAATGAAAATTTACAAGTGAAAAAAGCCACATGAGCTTATGTATAAGTCTACTCAAACCAATCACATGATCTGAGCTACTGAACCATTCCAACAATTCAAGCCAAATACACTACATTGACAAAAGTTGCACCCAAAAACACATGTAATAAAAAAGTTAATAAACAATATTATATCATAGCTTAGTGGGGTGTCTTACATTTAGTGTTCCATGTCGCAATCCAAAAAAGGAAACCAAAGTGGTCGCAAAGGTGGTTGCAATCAGGTGTCGCAAACCATTTTTATATGTCGCAAATATGGTTGCAACCATCACCAAGAATTGTGACCAGCATCTATAGAAAAATTGGATTTATCATCAAAAATATTGAGCATAGCAACTGACAGTGCAGCAGCAATTGGTAATGTTGTGCATGAAAATTAATTAAATTTTGGGGTGGGTTACAATAAGGATACCGGCTGCAACTTTTGATGATGGTTGCTACCACCTTTGCGTCATATAAAAATGATTGCAACCACTGGTTGCAACCACCTTTATGACCATTTTGTTTCCTTTTTTGGAACTCTATTTAGAAAGTTCTTTTCTGGAGAAGGCTTTATCGTATTTTTCATAATACTTATCTGGGCAGGTGAGATACAAAGAATCGGTATCTCCATATTTCAGCTCAAACCCTTTCTTTGTTACGAATTCTGCAACAAGATTAAGGTTGTATTTTCCCGCCAAAGTAGTTCCTCCAGCTAATTCACGAAGAAAGATTGGGGATTTTGAGTTTCCTGCTTCTCCATAAAAAGTGTTCATATATACCTTCAAAGCTCTTTGTTTCGAATCTAAATAATCGTAATCAAAGCATATGGATGAATATTCTAAATTTAAGTTTTCTGGAATTTTTTTACCTTTCTTTTTAACTGAACTTATCATTTTCCCAAGATGTTCTTTTTTCTTTCCTAATAGGGCAAGTTGTACTTTAAGCTCTACTCTCTTGTTGAATAAATCCTCTAATACGACAGGATATAAACCCTTCTTTCCGAATTGATTATCATGTCTTACACTCCAAGCTTGGACGATGTGGTTATTAAATGGAAACTCAATCTTATGCAAGATATTTCCATTATTTTGCACAATATCTGCCTCTCTACGGGTTAGTATTATTTTATCTGGAGAAAGATTGTAAGCCATGATGAGACTGGGATATAATGAAGCAAAGTCCAATCCTGTTACAGGTCTTTCCGTTTCAATTCCTTTTTTGGTGGAAAAACGTATGCGCTGGGAAATTTCCCTTTTTCTATATTTTTACATACCCTTGTACTAAATACCATATCACGCTTGAAAGCATAAGCACCCAGAAGGTTTCGTACTTTCATCCCATTTGCATGGTAGTGTGAGTCAAATAGAGATACATAAGCTATAGAAGCGACTTCTCTATAATCATTTATTACACTTAGCTTTACCATAAGCTCCTGACAACGTAGTGCATCTATAATACAATAATTCGCAACATCATGCATTCTTCTCGCAGTTGTTGAGGAAGGCTGTGGTCCCGTTCTTTTGCTTCTGTATAGATCATCCACATATCATTGTATGGCATATCAGCTTTTGAATCAAGACCGCATTTTTCTAAGAAGAATTTAAGTGAGCCTTCCTTTTCTACCTCAGAACGGGGATAATGTTTTTTGAGACATACCCAAACATCAATTGGTACACATCCTGGCAGTTTAAGAAAACTAGAAATAAATTCCTCTTCTGGGCTAATTTTAATTTTAACTGGACCATCCATATATTCTTTCTCTTCCTTATCTTCATCTCCCTCCCCACCTCCTTCAACAGTATTCTTTATTTTCTTGAAAGTATTTTCAGATTTTGCACCTATCTTTCCACGATAATTCCACTTTAGAATTTCTTCCTTTGATTTGAAGTTTCCAGTCATTTGTTTCCACATCCATTCAAGTATATTTAGGTGATAAGCTCTTTCCATAATGAACCGCCAATCATAGTCGGAATCATTAAATCCAACTTGGATGTCAGGGGCAAATGCTCGCCAGCAAAGGGCGAATGCTTTTAGCAAATTTACCTGATTTCTGCATACGATTGTAATCCATTGCGGGTCTGGCGCGGTTTCAACATCAACAAGACAAATTTGTTTTAACGGCTCTGGTTCATCTTTCCAGTGTAATGTCATACAAATCATAAAGACCTTGTTTTTTTCTTCAAGAACTTCTGCAAATTCTCCCATTCGTGGGGCATATGTTTCTATATCCCACGTAAGAACAAGAGTACGATCTCGTAAGAGAGCTGAAATAGGGAAGTGGTCACTTATCATTTTTAGATGGCATGGTAAAATTGTGCACCGATTCCTTCACTCCGGATCTTCTACTGGTCAAAAATCATTTACAGAAACTTGAAAACCGTGTATAATGAGAATGTTTTTTGTATCTATACTTACTTATCATAGACCAACCAGAAATTGCAATTCCATTCTCTCTAGCTATTTTACAGTGAAATGAGTACATATCATCTGATGCAGTTTCATAATTTTTATCCTGGATAGCTTGGAGGGCTTTCTTCCTATCTCCAGTACCTAGTGTAAAAATTCGTAGATATGACTTTTTTTCTATATTACAGTCGGCGCTCGATATAGTGAAGTTTTGGCTAGTACAAATTTGGAAACTATCTGCGTTAATATCCAATCAAATTCAACTTTTCTGAAGATAGTTTCCAAATTTGTACTAGCCAAAACTTCACTATATCGAGCGCCGACTGTACAGCCACTCAAAGAAAAACGACTTTTTTAAAACACATAATACATACCTCGCTAAAAAAAATAGAATTTTAAATTGGTTTGACAATTGATAGAAATGAAGGCCATCTCTAGCTTCTTTAACAAGTAATTGGAGTCAAAATTTGTTTTCTAGTACTAGAGTGAGTTTTTTGTTTATTACGTAAATTACTCTCTGAATCCACACAGACGGGGCATATCTACAAGTTACAAATCAAAATCAGATGATTTTTGTGAATGTGTAATTCATGTGCACTAATGTTTCAGCCATTCAAAAAATTTATCATATGTGGTGCGATCTTCATGACAAGCAAGATAAATATTTTTGGACAGAAAAAAATAAAAATAGACAATCATGGTTTTAAGACTTCGGTTCTCGGCTCGAAAAAAATTATTAGAATACTTACATTTTATTATTGTTATATTAAGGGCTCTAAAGTTTTACGAATTTTTCAGCTATTATACCGAATATTATAAATCCTCAATTACAACATCAGGAAATTATTTAGTACTCAAATGGTTCATGATAGAATCGATCTACTTGTTTGCGTTATATAAATTGGAAAAACCAAGTTTACAAGCAACACTTTGGTCCTGGCTATTGATGATTCATTTTTCAAGCATTTTAAATTATAATATTATACAACTTTCACCATTGTCATCAAAGGAGGCTAATAATAACATTACGCGTTTTTTAGATTATTATCTTCATTTTTGTTTTTATACATGCATTGTATATAACATAATCAGAACTAAATATAGATTCTTGATACTTAAATACAAACAAATGTTTGGGGTTCGTACTCGTAGGGATATTTTACGAATTTTATTTTAATTAAGAATATAACTTTTAAGTGACATTTAAAACAAAAATTTTAAATTACATGCATGTATTAAATTTAACACACAAAATTACACATATTTACATATTCACGCTGGCGCACACGTGGACATATTCACATACACATATATACACATGCGACAACAAAATTAATTGCAATAGATAGATGGATAGATATGTTGGCTGTTGATACTTGATAAAGAAAAATGTGTCGGCATTAGGATTATGAAATCAATTTTATTAATACTAATAATAATATAGAATTTTATGATTTTTTATTTATATATATATCGAGATAGGATTATATACACAGATATAAACACATACATGTATATTTTTACGCATTCAAATACATAGATATATTCAGATTTAACTACCTGCGTACATAATCAAAACACACATAATCAAAGATACATGCAATCAAAGACATGCGTGCACACATACACATCTCCCTATTTTTTTATATTTTATATTTGTAGTTGATGGAGTTATTAAAGGACCAAAAACATGGTGAATCATCACCATTTATTTGGTTAACAATCTGACAAAGGGAATGTTTATAGAAATAAGATTAATTATAATAGTGCAATTGAAAGATATATATCAGAGAAAGCGGAAAAAAGAAATATCGGTTAATTTATTAATAAAATATTTTTGAATCATTAATATATGAATGAATCCACAAGGTTTCAAGATTTATATACATCACAAGAATAATATACACCACAAGATTAATATATGATATAATTCACAAGAAGGTTTGTTAATTATTAATTATTATTATTTAAATAGTCTTGAGCCATGAATTTTAGATAGAGATTTCGAGTTAATAGATAAAGGTTTAAAAAAATTGTTATATTTATTTCTCAATATTTTTGATTTTTTATTAAAAAAATAAAACTTTTGATTTTAGATATATACTGTACGTAATAATAATATAATATACAATATATAATTTTTTTTTTTTTTTGAAGCAATACATATTTTTTATGATAATATATATAATTTTTTTTTTTTATATCCACCCAATATTTATAAAAAAATTTTTTTTTTTATATTAATATATATAAAGTTTTTTTTTATGAATACCCAATATTTATATAATATACAATTTTTTTTATAATATATACAATTCTTTTACCAACCAGCGGCTTTTTTATTGTCATTGTTGAATATCTTCGATGATGCATTCATGCATGAATGATGGAATAGACTAAATAGAGATTAGTTAATAAGATTTTCGTGGCATATAATAAATGTGTCAAAATACTAAAATAAATTTACCTTGATTTTATTTTTTTAGTCTTGGCCAAAATCAAACTTGTACCCGTCTATAATATTTGACTGTTCGTTTAAACCGTTTGGATTATTATTATTATTATAGGAGAAATCCTGTACCCCATCAAGTATTTCCTTGATAAATAGATTGTCGGCAGCCATTCCCCTTGCATTAGCAACTTGATTAACGTTTGCAGGAGCTGGATTATTTGCATTAGCAACCTGATTACCATTTGCAGGAGCTGGATTATTTGCATTAGCAACTTGATTGATGTTTGCAGGAACTGGATTATTTGCATTAGCAACTTGATTGATGTTTGCAGGAACTGGATTATTTGCATTAGCAACTTGATTAATGTTTGCAGGAACTGGAATGCGAATACCGACATTATTTAAAGCCATATTTAATTATTCTTATTTTTTATTTTTTAAACTACAATCGACTACATATCGTTTTTATAGTATCGTCGGAATTTTTGGGTAAATAAAGATGGAAAATAAATATTATACAAAGAGGAAAATTGCGAAACAAATATGTCACGGAAAATAGGATTTATTTAAACAATCTACATTCATCCATTACTCAGAAACCAAAAATTTAAAAAAAAGCGGAAGCATTTCTTTAATTGAAAAAGATTACTGAAAAAAAGTAATAGTGATTAGATTTTGACACACACATACACTCACATATAATGTCCAAGTTCGTTCATTATATGTATGTATTGTATGTAGTAGGGTATATAAGTTTATTGGGAAGAACAGACAATCTAATAATGAATATTATTAGAGACATAAAATTAATACCGATTTTATTTGTTGATATTTGTTGATATTTGTAAAATAACCTTAATTCCATGTAAATATAAACAAAAAAATAACAGTTTTTTAATCCTTAAAACATTTTATTCCTTTTCATTCACCGCGTAGATTTCAATCTCGGTTCCATACTTCAAATAATAATTATACTAACTAATACTAATGTTATATTGATTTCGGAATTCTGAAATTTGTCGTATTAGTATTAGTATTATTACCTTAAAGTCACATGATTACGATGATAATGATGTAATATTTATTTTTATTTTTTCCTATAATAAAGACGATCAAAATTATCCGACATATATTTCTACACGCTATATTAATATTAATTAATATTAAAATATCGGCTGAAGAGAAATAGTTACACGTAATAATAATAAAAATATTTTTAATAATCTAGTCAAAATAAAATTATATACTATGTAGTGCTCCGTAAATTATGTAACAATTCCAAATAATAAAATTTAAACTCCAGGAAGGAAGGGCATAACAATAGACCATAGCAATCCGATAGACTATTAAGACCATTAGTAATCGGATTCATTAAATTCTGACAAATAAAATGCGCATTCTATTTCTAAATTATTATTATCATTATATAAAAAATCTATAACTGTTGTAAATATTATTATATCATTATATCTACAGTATTTCTACATTTTTGAGTAAACCAACTTAATGCAGAAGATAAACGTCCTCATGTTCTTGGATATTCTGATCCATCTAAATATGAATAATGATAAGGGAAATTAAATGAGTAATGGTTTTTTATTCGTGTCATTAAAACTTGAGCGCTATTAGCGTCACAGCCTAATTTTTCCACACACGTACACATACAAATACCCCTCGTAGTTGGTGGAGTTATTGAAGGACTAAAAATATACGGCGGGGGCATATATATATATATCAGAGAAAGTGAAAAAAAGGGAATTTAATAATAAAAGATCAACATATGAATGAATCCACGGTGCAGATCATCTATAATCATTAATTGCTTATAGTAATAATTGGTCAACTTCAAAATACTAAAACAAAAAAAAATTATATTATTTTAAAAAATCTAACCGATAAGTTTTATTGTTCATGACTCAAGCTTCAAAACTTATCGGCTGGTTTTTTCTTAAATTGAAAAATGGCAGAGCCTTAGCATTTTGAAAATTCCGAATTTTGTTATACATTTAAGAAATTGAGACCAAGTAAATTTCGTGTAACAACT